AGCCGCACTTGGAACATGCTGGGGATGAGTATAGCAACTCCCACTGCAGTCTTGTTCAGGATGCGATCTTCAAGGTAGAGCCAAATGGCGTTGGCAGACGGGTAGTTGTGGTAGGTTTTGACGAGTTCGGCAGGAGTGGTGCCCATGAAGACACTAATGACCGCACCATCGGCCTTCTCCCAATTTTTGTACTTGAGCAGTGCAGCAGCATAAACTGCTTCGGCGGCGGCATTAGCTGGATCGGCGGACCTCTCGGGTTTAGGAGGCTCTTTGCCGTCACCGATGTTGAGAAGGACGTCGGTGAGCTCGAGCCCCTTCACCTCGCGACTGAGGAGGTGCTTGTCGACACCATAGCGCCAAGCCTTGTAGTTGGAGCATGTGCCGTCCGGCTCGAGACGAAGGAGCGGGATCGGGTTGGCGAGTGAAGTGGTTGAGTAAGCCATTGTCGGTGTGCAGCGCGGCACTTCTGGAAATTGGTCGACGAGAATTGCTGAAAATCACTCTGACGGCTGTATCAAAATGCCGCTAAGTAGGAAAGGGCATCGGCGAAAATTTGTTAAAACGCCGACTTGAAACTGAATCTGAGCCTATGTCTAACCCCGGACCCACACACCCCCCCACACACCCCCAGGCCCTGTCCCGCAGCTACACAGCTCCGCAACCAGCTCCGCAACCAGCTCCGCAACCAGCTCCGCTCCGCTTCAACCTGTGTACTTGCTCTTGATTCGTGGAGGCGATTTGGCGAGGGGAGTTCGCCTATTCTGGCGGGGTCTGAGGGGAAACTCGAGAACGAGTTTTAAGAGATGGTCGAAATTGAGATTCGACCAAGGAGAACCGAGGAGGAAATCGACGATGAGAAGCGTGAAAGCTTCAGAGATGAGAAAGTCAACGAGGTCGAGCGCGAAGGCGGTCGACGATGAGAGGCGCGACTGCAGAGTGGAGCACGTCGAAATTCTGACGACTCGAAACGAATGTCGCGACGATGAAGTGCGCGTAGCGCGGGCACGTTAAGATTAGGACCTTGATCCGCGTGTGCGGATAGGTCGCTCTGATACCATGTAAGAAATAGAGTTGAAATGATTGATTAGGTAAGGAGCCCAAGGCTCTATAAGTACATGGCAAGGTGAGAGAGAATGGATGAAGGGGGAATTGGAGGGAATCCCCATTGGGATTTCTGGAATCTCCAATTGGGTGATTGGGGATTGTGGGGATCACAATTGGGTGAGGTTGGGATTTGTGAGTACACCCCAACCCACTAGAACATTCACAACCTAAACTAGGATATAAAAGTACAAATACAAAAGTGGTATTTGCAGTCTATTTCTAACACAAACTCCCCTAGCGGAATCGCCTCCACGAACGTCTCGCGTCAAGCAAGAGCAGGTAAACATGTGGAAGCGGAGCGGAGCTGGTTGCGGAGCTGGTTGCGGAGCTGGTTGCTGAGCTGTTTAGCTGCGGGACAGGGCCTGGGGGTGTGGGGGGGGGTGTGTGGGTCCGGGGTTAGACTTAGGCTCAGATTTAGTTTCAAGTCGCTGTTTAAACAAATTCCCGCCGACGCCATTTCCTTCTTAGCGGCATTTCGGCGATGCCGTCTGAGTGATTTTCAGCAATTCTCGTCGACCGATTTCCAGAATTGCCACGCTGCACACCGAATTTCTTATCGGTGACTGAAGAGCGTCGCCTCGCGAAAATCAAACGGGAATGGCTTGCTCAACCACTTCACTCGCCAACCCGATCCCGCTCCTTCGTCTCGAGCCGGACGGTACATGCTCCAACTGCAAGGCTTGGTGCTATGGTGTCGACAAGCACCTCCTCAATCGCGAGGTGAAGGGGCTCGAGCTCACCGACGTTCTTCTCAACATTGGTGACGGCAAAGAGCCTCCTAAACCATGGGGAGGAGGACACATGGGGGGAGGACACATGGGGAGGACATATGGGGAGGACACATGGGGTGGAAAAGCACTGGTCAGCACACACCAATGAGAACAAGGAACACGCATTGATCAACAGCAAAGAAATAAGAAACAAGCCTTTTAAACAGGCACGCAACATTCAGCAAGCAATAACAACTAGGAAAAAGCAGCAAGCAAGAATCAACCATGCATTGGTCAAGTCGCAATCGTCTAGAATAGACGATCATCAAGAAATAACCAGCAGGCATAATCAGAAAAGCAATGTTGAGAAGAACGTCGGTGAGCTCGAGCCCCTTCACCTTGCGACTGAGGAGGTGTTTGTCAAGACCATAGCACCAAGCCTTGTAGTTGGAGCATGTACCGTCCGGCTCGAGACGAAGGAGCGGGATCGGGTTGGCGAGTGAAGTGGTTGAGTAAGCCATTCCCGTTTGATTTTCACGAGGCGACGCTCTTAAGTCACCGATAAGAACTTCGGTGCGCAGCGAGGCACTTCTGGAAATCGGTCAACGAGAATTGCTCAAAATCACTCAGACGGCTTCGCCGAAATGCCACTAAGAAGGGAATGGCGTCAGCGGGAATTTGTTTAAACACCGACTTGAAACTAAATCTGAGCCTAAGTCTAACCCCGGACCCACACACCCCCCCATACACCCCCAGAAGTCTTCGAATGCATCCAACTCGGCAACTTCGTCAATGACACGAACAATCATCGCGGAAACTCCGCGCCCTGGAGAAGAGCCGTTCTTTAAGCAGCCTCGGCCAGCTGCCAGCTCAGGAGTAGGAAACAACGAATATTGGGATGTACCCTATGACCCAATCGATGAAAATGTCTTTGGGTACTCCGAGCAACGACTGCCCCTCATGCTCGAGATCATCTGCAAAGGACGACGCCTCCAAGCACTCGTGGACAGCGGAGCATCGCACACCGTATGCGACAAGGCAACCATCGACCGACTTCGAGAAGAGTACAAGCCATCAGCGTTTTCTGCAACAATGGTGGACGGCAGCAAGTTAGCAGTGTACGGCGAAGCAGTGCTACACCTACAAATCGGGCCACTGCGCTGGAAACCTGCTCTCACCATCACCAACATATAAGGGCTTGACCTGATCTTCGGGCGAGACTTCCTAAAACGATTCAACCCCGAGATCAACTGGGTAAACTGCACCGCAAGCATCTACAACAAAGGAAGGAGAGTCCAGCTACCCAAGTGGGATGATACAGGAGATATCCCTGTGGAGACACTCGCCAGATTCGAGAAGGACGTCAAGCGAACCAGCACCAGATTACTAGCGATAGCAACACAGGTGGAAACCGACGGAGAGAAGACCTCGGAACCTCCAGGAAAAATCAAGGAATTACTGAAGGAGTTCCAAGACATTCTCCCGGACGAGCTACCACCATACCGAACGCACCAACATGAGATCGTGGAGGAACCAGGTTCAAAGCCGACCTTCCAAGCACCATATCGGCTCAGCCCCACAGAGCTAGCTGACATGAAGAAGCAAATCGAGTATCTCCTTGCCAAAGGACTCATCCGACCATCCACTTCACCATACGTTGCCCCAGTACTCTTCACACCGAAACCGGACGGAAGCCTGCGCATGTGCATCGACTCTCGAGCTCTCAACAAGCAGACCATCAAGAAAAAGTACCTGATTCCACGAATCGATGATCTGCTTGACCAGCTTCGGGGAGCCATGGTATTTTCAAAATTAGATCTGCGGTCCGGATACTGGCAGATAAGAATGGCGGACGATTCCGTTCACAAAACAGCCTTCCGAACTCGGTACGGATCGTACGAGGATCTGGTAATGCCGTTCGGACTCACCAACGCACCGGCAATGTTCCAAGCAGAAATGAATCATAGCCTACGCCCACTCTTGGACGAATGCGTGGTGGTTTACCTGGACGACATCCTCGTCTACTCGCACGACATGCAACAACACGTCGAGCACCTATGACGCGTCTTCGAAGTTCTTCGACGAGAACGTTTCTACGTCAAACTATCCAAGAGCGACTTCGCCTTCGAGAAAGTCCAATTCCTCTGACATATCGTAAGCGCTCAAGGAGTTCACGTCGACCCCAAGAAAATCGAAGCCGTATGTACGTGAAAGACACCCGAGAACGTGAAGGAGTTACAACAGTTCCTTGGCTTCGCTAACTACTACAACAGGTTCGTGCCGCAATACGCGAAGATTGCCGCGCCACTCACGAATCTGCTGAAGAAGAACACTCCCTATAAATGGGAGCCACAACACCAGGAAGCCGTGGAGCAGCTAAAGCAAGCACTCACGTCCGCACCAGTACTTATCTTGCCTGACCCCGAACGCGACTACGTCATCGAAGCTGACGTTAGCGACCAGCCAGTGGGAGCAGTCCTGATGCAAGACCAGGGGAATGGACTGCAACCAATCGCCTATCTCAGCAAGAAACTACATGGGGCATAACTCAACTACCCGATACCCGACAAGGAGGCCTTTGCTATCATCGTCGCCTTCAAAACGTGGAGATGCAATCTCGAAGAATGCAAGACAACAGTCTACACCGACCATTGCAGCCTAAAATATTTGAAGACGCAACCAAGCCTCTCCAGGCAACAGGTTTGGTGGATCGACTTCCTTGAGACGCACTTCCACTACGACATCGTGTACAAGCCTGGCCATAAAAACAAAGCAGATGCGCTTAGCCGGCCTGCACACGTTGCCACTATCCAGGTTGAAGGGATGAATCCACTCCTCAAGGGACTCTTCACATACGGGTACACCATCGACCCTGAAATTCCCTTGGCAGAAAAGCGACATCTGCTACAATGGGACAACGACATTGCGTACCGGAAAGGATCAACGAAGATCTGGGTATCTAATTACCCTCCATTGCGCCAATTACTACTCAAAGAATATCACGACGTCCTGTACGCAGGACACTTCGGTAGCAACAGGACGTTCACCGGTATCGCCAAACACTACTACTGGCCCCACATGGCAGTTGACGTACAGAAATTTGTCACCTCGTGCACTACATGTCAACGGATGAAGAGCAACAAGCAAAAAAAAGGCGGGTCTTCTACAACCTCTTTCTGTCCCAGAACAGCCATGGCAAGCGGTAAGCCTAGACTTCATCACCGGGCTACCAACTACCACAAGCGGTCATGACGCGATCCTCGTCGTCATTGACAAGTTCTCCAAAATGGGACACTTCATCCCGATACACACGACAGCACGCACCGAGGAGACGGCACAACTCTTTGTTCGCTACATCATCTCACAACATGGCATTCCAACCACACTCATCTCCGACCGAGACCCTAAGTTCACCAGCAAGTTCTGAAAAGAATTGATGTCTCTGCTCGGGACCAAACTCGCCATGTCATCCGCCTACCATCCGCAGACAGATGGACAGACCGAGCACCTCAACCAAATTGTGGAGCAACTCCTCCGCGCAGCCTGCAAGGACGGAATCTGCAAATGGGACTTGCATCTGCCCATCCTGGAGTTTGCCTACAACAATGCCACTCACGCCGCTACTGGACAGACGCCATTCTTCCTCTGTTACGGACGCCACCCACTCACACCTCAACAGCCAAACATACCAGCCACAGTCCAACCCGCTGATGATTTCATCATACGACTATGCATAAACTTTGGGATCGGTACCACAAGCGCCTTCTCGACATTCAGCAACAACAGAAGCGCCAGGCCGATCGCCACCGCGCAGACCACACCATCACCGTGGGAGATCGAGTCCTACTCGACACGCGCAATCTTGACATCAGCCATCTCCCATCCAAACTATGACCTCGCTTCTGTGGGCCTTTTCTCGTTGAAGCACAGGTCACTCCTGTTACCTTCAACTTACGCCTGCCAGCTACCTGGAAGATTCACAACACCTTCCATGTCCAACTCTTGAAGCCCTACCGAGATCCCAACGCGATCTTCTCTGGATGCCAACCACCGCCGCCGCCGCCCGTCCTCGTCCATGATGAACCCGAATATGAGGTCGAGTCCGTGCTTGCTCACCGCCGTCGACAGAATTGCACCATGAAGCTTCTCATCCGCTGGAAGGGTTATGATCCTTGAGAGGATAGCTGGGTCTCTGAATCCGAGATGGACCACGCTCGTCGTCCTCTTCTCGACTACCTTGTCAAGCAGGGTGTTACGTCTACCACCCAGCTTTGAGGGGGGAAGTGTGAGAGTACGACCCCGTTCCATTCCTCTCTCCTTTCCATATTCCCTTTCCATTCCATTCCTCTTTTTATCCCAATCCATTTGGTTTTTATCTCATTCCATTTGGATTCCTATTTCTCCGTTTCCATAAACCTTTGGGTTATCCTGTTATTATCATTTTATCACCGACCAGGCTTGGGATGTACTGGTGCGCTATATCTGGCGTAATCCTGCCGTAATCCCTTAAAGCCAATAGCCTCGCGTGGCTATACGCAGGGTGATTCTATTTTCTAGAAGGGTCTATTCCCTTGGGATAGGATAAACCTGGTTACCTGATGTACTTTGGAAGTATAAAAGCGCCTTGTACTGACTGATAGTGCAACCTTTCCTCGACACATTCGATCCTCTGACACAGGCCCTGTCCCGCAGCTATACAGCTCCGCAACCAGCTCTGTAACCAGCTCCGCAACCAGCTCTGTAACCAGCTCCGCTCCACTTCCACCTGTGTACCTGCTCTTGCTTGACGCGAGACGTTCGCGGAGGCGATTCCGCGAGGGGAGTTCGCCTATGCTGGAAGGGTCCGAGAGGAAACTCGAAAACGAGTTTTAAGAGATGGTCGAAATTGAGATTCGACCAAGGAGAACCGAGGAGGAAATAAACGATGAGAAGCATGAAAGCTTTAGAGATGAGAAATTCCAAGAGGTCGAGCGCGAAGGCGGTCGACGATGAGAGGCGCGGCTGCAGAGTGGAGCACGTCAAAAATTCCGACGACTCGAGATGAATGTCGCGACGATGAGGTGCGCGTAGCGCGGGCACGTTAAGATTAGGACCTTGATCTGCGTGTGCAGATAGGTCGCTCTGATACCATGTAAGAAATAGAGCTGAAATGATTGATTAGGATAAGGAGCCCAAGGCTGTATAAGTACATGGCAAGGTAAGGGAGAATGGATGAAGGGGAAATCGGAGGGAATCCCCATTGGGATCTCCGGAATCTCCAATTGGGTAATTGGAGACTGGGGGGATCACAATTGGGAGAGGTTGGGATTTTATGAGTACACCCCAACCCACTAGAACATTCCTAACCTAAACTATGATATAAAAGTACAAATACAAAAGTAGGATTTGCAATCTATTACTAACAATCTGTTGATACTAACCACCAACGCCCAAGAAATTGTAGCATTATTCATAGAAACTGGGGAAATATTTTGGGCAATAAACCTCCGAACAACTATCTAAGCTAAATACTATTCCATTAAATCAAGCTCTTCATAGGTGTGCACAAGAACTTTGACCTTATCACATTTGGTACTTACTAAAGGCTGGGCATCAGCGTTGGCCTCTCTCCATCTTTCAGCCTGGTTAGGGGAACACTCACATGTTGATGTGAGGCCCATGTAAGGCCCATGGAAGGCACATGGAAGGCCCATGTAAGACCCATGTAAACAAGATGCATAAAAACGGAGTTTTTCTTTCTTTCTTTCTTTCTTTTTATACCGTACAGAACGGGATCGTATAAAACGGCCGTTTCATACGATTAAAAGGGTCAAAAGTGGTGTTTTGTGACTGGTGCAAAAAAAATGGTCGTTTTATACAGTCGTTTTTCTCGTACCGTCGATAAAAACGGTGGTTCGCTTTATACGGAGGATGGTGAGGAGGGTGAGGAGGACTAGGAGAAGGAGGAGGACGACTAGTGCAAGGAAGGGGAGGACTAGGGTGAGGAGGAGGAGGAGGAGGAGGAGGAGGAGGAGGAGGAGGAGGAGGAGGAGGAGGAGGAGGAGGAGGAGGAGGAGGAGGAGGAGGAGGAGGAGGAGGAGGAGGAGGGCTATTAGGAGGAGGAGCAGAGCTGGAGTAGGAGGACCAGGAGGAGGACAACTAGGAGGGTGAAGGGAGGACTACCCACTAGACAGAGAAGGACAATGAAAGGAGGCCTCGGAGGCTGTGGATGGTGTTTTAGATGGATGTAGGCTGTCGCTGCCACCAGGCCCTCTGTTTTCCCGCACTTTTTTTAAGTTCAGTGTTACAAAAACAAAAAACAAAAAAAAAACAAAACAAAAAAACAAAAACAAAACTGTAACAAAAAAACGGCAGAATTCGCATAAATCTTTTGTATAAAACGGTCGTAAAAAATGGACTGTTTAATACGGAAACCGTTTTTTTGCACCTTGCATATAAGGCCCATGTAAGGCCCATGGAAGGCACATGTAAGGCCCATGGACGGCCCATGGTTGCTTTCTATGAAACAACATGAGGACGCATTCCCCAACAATTCTCCATCGCGTGCACGTGGAACACATGGCATTCCTCCCGTGCGCGTGGAACACTTGGCATTCCTCCCGTGCGCGTGGAACACATGGCATTCCTCCCGTGCGCGTGGAACACATGGCATTCCTCCCGTGCGCCCCAACATGCTCCTGGCAGCTCAAGTCATGGAAGGCCTCTTGGCGCTGTTTTCCGCCGGCAATGGCGCGCCCTGGCAGGGCGAGACCCTCTCGTCGCTCATGCGCTTCCTCGCTCTCGATTCCGACCAGTTCGTGAGTGGCGCATACAGCTGTGAGTGGCGCGTGCCGCTGTGAGTGGCGCGCACGGCTGGGAGTGGCGCGCGCGGCTGCAAGGGGCGCGCGCGGCTGCGAGGGGCGCGCGCGGCTGGGAGCGGCGCGCGCGGCTGCGAGTGGCGCGTGCAGCTGCGAGTGGCACGCTTGGCGTGCGACTTTGAGATTGGTGGAGAGTTTGTGCAGTGAAATGCGATGGGATGTGAATGGTGCAAATGGGCATCTGCCTGAGCATGCTTTGCCCACTGCGTTGTCGTCCTCTCTTTCTGCCCCCCACCCACCCCTCTTCGTGCTGTGATTTGTCTCAACAAGGGCTGCTTGGTACCATCCCAGCCGTCCTGTCATCTCTTACTCACCTCACACATCTGTGCGTACATTGCAGTTGCCAGGACACATCTGTTCGTACATTGCACCTGCTAGCACCCATCTGTGCATACATTGCACCTGCCAGCACCCATCTGTGCGTACATTGCACCTGCCAGCACCCATCTTTGTGTACATTGCATCTGCCAGGACACATCTGTTCGTACATTGTACCTGCCAGCACCCATCTGTGCGTACATTGAACCTGCCAGCATCCATCTGTGCGTACATTGCACCGGCCAGCACCCATCTGTGCGTACATTGCACCTGCCAGCACCCATCTGTGCATACATTGCACCTGCTTGCACCCATCTATGCGTACATTGAACATGCCAGCACCCATCTATGCACACATTGCACCTGCCAGCACCCATCTGTGCGTACATTGCACTTGCTAGCACCCATCTGTGCGTGCATTGCACCTGCCTGCACCCATCTGGTAGTACATTGCACCTGCCAGCACCTGAATCAAGCTCTTGTGGCCGCAACGGCAAGTCCTTGTGTCATGCAAATTGGTTCCAATTAAATGAGGTTCATCATGTCATTATGTGTCATGCAATCATGTGACATGCAATCATGTGACATGCAATCATGTGTCATGCGATCATGTGTCATGTGATCATGTGCCATGCGATCATGTATCATGCGATCATGTGCCATGCAATCATGTGTCATGCAATTTTGTGTCACGTGATCATGTGTCATGCGATCATGTGTCATGCAATCATGTGCCATTCGATCATGTGTCATGCAATCATGTGTCATACGATCATGTATCATGCATGCGATCATGTGACATGCAATCATGTGTCATGCAATCATGTGTCATGTGATCATGTGTCATGCAATCATGTGCCATGCAGTCATGTGTCATGGAAACATGTGCCATGCAGTCATGTGTCATGCGATCATGTGTCATGCGATCATGTGCCATGCGATCATGTGTCCCCCAGATTCCTGCACGATTTGTATAGCACGCATCACTCCCTTGCCCCATCTATGCTCGTCCATCTCATCTGTCTCTCCCTACCCTTCCTCCATCCATGCCCCATCCGCCCACCCCCTTTGCAGCAATCTCTCCAACAATGCATTCTCCGGAGTTGTCCCAGATTTTCTATCCAACTTTCTCAGCATTCAGATTCTGTGAGTTGTTCCTGTCAGTGTCAAATGGTTGGTGCTTCCTGGTGGCGTTGCACCACAGTGGCCATGTGGAAATGCAGCTTCATGTGGCGTGTGCTTGTGGGCCTGGTTTTGAGAAGAGGGATGGACGTGAAGCCTGCTATGGCGTCCTGCCTGATTCTGAATGTAAGACTGTCATCCCCATAGGAGTGATATGTTTATGAACTAATATATATATTCTTCTGTATGTGTACGAGAAGGAAGAGAAAAGCGTGTGATGACATGATTATGGTATCATGGAGCTGATGCTTGATGGGTGCTATGCATCTGCTCTCATACTGTAAGCCCTGTTCCTCCTCTTCAGGTCGATGCATCTGCATGGCAGCATGGCAATGGCATGTGGGGTACAGCATGGCACCATGAGTGTAGCACCATGGTTGACCATGCGTCCAAGTCCGATAGCATGGATACCATACTTCGGGCACTAGTTTAGATATGGTATGGTAGGAGCTGCATCTCACATGCTGTCACGGGGCTCGACCATGAGTACAGAGTTATGTGCCCACTCCTCGTGGACACTGCGTCTCTCGGCACGCCTTTCACGCTCCTAGTGGACCGACGCGCCTCTCGCCCTCCGGGCGGGTCGGCGCGCCTCTCGCGCTCCTGGCGGGCCGGCACGCCTCTCGCGCTCCTGGTGGGCGGGAGCGCCTCACGCGCTCCTGGCGGACCGGCGCGCCTCACGCGCTCCTGGCGGACCGTCGCGCCTCTCGCGCTCCTAGCGGACCGGCGCGCCTCTCGCGCTCCTGGCGGACACGCGCGCCTCTCGTGCTTCTGGCGGACCGGCGCGCCTCTCGCTCACCTGGCGCACCGGCGCGCCTCTTGCGCACCTGGCGCACCGGCGCGCCTCTTGCGCACCTGGCGCACCGGCGCGGCTCTCGCGCTCCTGGCGCACCGGCGCGCCTCTCTTGCACCTGGCGGACTGGCGCGCCTCTCGCTCACCTGGCGGACCCGCGCGCCTCTCGCGCTCCTGGCGGACCGCGCGCCTCTCGCGCTCCTGGCGGACCCGCGCGCCACTCGCGCTCCTGGCAGACCCGCGCGCCTCTCGCGCTCCCGGACCCGTGCGCCTCTCGCGCTCCCGGCGGACCCCGCGCGCCTCTCGCGCTCCCGGTGGCACCCGCGCGCCTCTCGCGCTCCCGGCACAACCGCGCGCCTCTCGCGCTCCCAGCACACCCGCGCGCCTCTGGCGCTCCCGGCGCACCCGCGCGCCTCTCGCGCTCCCCCCGCGCCCGCGCGCCTCTCGCGCTCCGCACGCGCCCGCGCGCCTCTCGCGCTCCGCGCGCACCCACGCACCTCTCGCGCTCCTGGCGCAACCGCGCGCCTCTCGCGCTCCTGGCGGACCCGCGCGCCTCTCGCGCTCCTGGCGCAACCGCGCGCCTCTCGCGCTCCTGGCGGACACGCGCGCCTCTGGCGCTCCTGGCGGACACGCGCGCCTCTCGCGCTCCTGGCGGACACGCGCGCCTCTCGCGCTCCTGGCGGACACGCGCGCCTCTCGCGCTCCTGGCGGACCCGCGCGCCTCTCGCGCTCCTGGCGGACCCGCGCGCCTCTCACGCTCCTGGCGGATCCGCGTGCCTTTTGCGCTCCTGGGGAACCCGCGCACCTCTCGCGCTCCTGAGAGGCGCGTGCCTCTCACGCTCCTCGCGCACGCGCTTGCCTCTCGCGCTCCTCGCGCACCCGCGCGCCTCTCGTGCTCCTCGCGCACCCGCGCGCCTCTTGCGCTCGTGGCGCACCCGCACGCCTCTTGCGCTCCTGGGGGACCCTCGCGCCTCTCGAGCTCCTGGTGGACCACGCACCTTTCAGGCTCGTTTCTTTCCCTCCTCTGCCTCACGCTGCTCGCTCGTGCCCCACCCCCGCCTTCCCCCACTTGTTGCACCCTGCCTTCCCCCCACCAACCGCTATCGTGCAGGGGCTGCATTGGAGGCGCTAACGGCGCCGTGGCGGGGCTATGACGGGCTGGACACATGGAAGCAGGACAGCACGTGTGCAAACCTGTGGCACATCACGTGCGTCGAAAACAACCATATCGTTCGACAGTGAGGGGCTTCTATTCCAGCACACATGCTGTTCAACTCTAGAAAACATGCTTTTGCATGCGTGCATACAAGCCTTTGCACTCTAGCACACAAGCCTTTGCACTCCAGCACACATGCCTTTGCCTTAGAACTCCTGCAAACACGCCTTCGCAGCACCTGAGAGCCATGTTGTGAGACCACAGGTATTGACACGACGGCGCCTATGTACTCCTTCTCGCTGACTCATCTGCGCAGGGACGTGTTTAAGATGGGGGTGTCAGGGAGCATTCCGTCGCTCATTGGGAATCTCGCCCATCTGACCACACTGTGAGTCTATCTGACCGCACTGTGAGCTGACCGCTCTGTGAGTCCATCTGACCGCACTGTGAGTCCATCTGACGGCACTGTCATTCCATCTGACCGCACCGTGAGTCCGCCTGACCGCACTGCTAGTAAGGTGCTATGAGTTTGCGAGAGAGAAGATTGGAATTGAGAAAGCAACGGATACATGAAGATTAGTTCTCTAGCATGGTTCACCTACACTGCACAGCATACACTTGCCCATTGCCTATCGTCCCATGCCATGCTGTGTGCATGCAGGCATCATGAGAATGGCATGCCATCACTACCCCCTCTACCCGTCCATCACTTCCAGGGAAATTGGCGAGTGCCACTTCAGTGGCAGCATCTCAGAAACTCTGTGGCACTTTCCCAACTTGGTCACACTGTAAGGAGTACCGTGAAATCTTCCCTCCCATGATGATCCTGCTACTCGGCTCTGTCTTCTCCCTCCCTTGCAGCGCACTTG